AGTAAAAAAACTCAAAAAATTACTTCCATATACCTTCTTATAATAATAATAAATGGCAATTTTAACAAGAGTGACCAAGGAATCAAATTCATTTTAATACTGCTGAAGATCTTAAAACAAAAGTCAGTATGTATATGTATGCAAATATTTATAGACTTTTTTCAATAAAGCTTTTTTTTGTTTTTTTTTTAGGTGAAATGAGTGTGTATTGTAAATGCCAGAGAAATAAAAATTGAAACAGTCCACTGTACATTCCTGGAAATGAACTTCAAAGCACATCTGGCTTATGTTTAACTAGTTATGTCACTGGAAACACAGTCTAAACCACAGGGCTTGTTGTAAAAATCTCAACTTTCACAGACTCTTGAGCCTCAAGCAACTCCCCGACTCCCCACAATACACTGATAACTATAAATGAATACAATGAAGGCTTTTGCTCTTTTTTTCACAGTTATTCATGAGAATTATATTAATTAAAAATATACTAGTGAGTAACAAGCACCAGAGCATTTTCAGAGCACAACACAAAACTTTTGAGTACAGAAGTTTTTTATGGCCAGTGAAAATAAAACTCTAAACTGAATTACATAGTGTTTCTTTGAAAACAGAATTTAGACAGAAAGAGATTAATTTATTCCTCTACTGTCAATACACTCAATATTATGAAAAATATACTCTTTAAAAGGTTTTACAGGCAGTTTTATGAGAAATCTCTCCTGATCAGCTTTTTAACCTGATTAACTAAATCTAAATGTCAATCTGTGAGATTCAAGATGAAGATGATATATTCTTCATGACCTAGATATGTAATATAAATTCTGCTGATTCTAGTGTACATACAATAAAAAAATAATAAATATTTAAGAGTGATTACACTAAACTATGCTCAGAAAGGAAATACTTCTTAAGTTTTAGTTAATCATAGAATGGCCTAGGCTGGGAGGGACCTTAGAGATCATCTAGTCCAACCTCCCTGTCATGGGTAGGGACGTCACCTCTCGACTAGATCAGGCAACACATGGGGACCGAGCGGGAATGATCAGTTATTTGTTGTTTTTTCTGTTATTTTTTCTTTCTAAATGAAAAAGTAGTATTTTTTTTTCCATTATCAAAAAGTTTTCTATTTTAAATATTACTGCAGCATTCTTGCCCAGTCACAGGCTCATTGCTCAGAGTTCAGCAGACATACAGGGTCATGAAATATGGCCAAGAGAAGTACAATCACTGCTATTTTCCAGATGGCAAAATAGCCTTCTTTTCAATAATAGTCTAAATCTTATGACCACCATGAAAGGCAAATGAGATAGGGATAGATCTACCCTTTTTTAGAATCTTTTAGAGCACCAAACAATATTCTTTCATTAGTCTTTCCAGGAGTCACAGTACAAATATTGCTAACACGCACAGATGCATGCTCTTTTACTAACACATAAAAAACACATCCAAAACACTCCCAAGAATAAATGTGTCTATTAAAGTCTCACCAATTAGAAAACAGAACAGCCTAACTTAATGAGCTTGGATTATCATTTAAATAATTATTTGTTCGCAAAGGAATACATTTTAATTTACATTACCTGCTTCAATAAGGTGTGTGTGCATTTTCTACCTCATGCTCAGGTTGGCTCAAGCTGTGAAATATCTGAGTTCCTGTATTATTAGATGACTGTCAAAGGCACTTAACATGTTAATCTGAATAAATCACACTCGTTCCTTATCATGTTTTTGAACTGATTAATAAACTGATAACTTGGGTAATGCACCTAATTCCCTTAGACAAAATCTACAAGTGGTCATATTCCTTAGAAAGATGTACTAGGCTGCCATTAAGAGGGGACATGGCTGGCATTTGGTTTTCTGCTAGTATCTTCTTTTCATATTCTTTCTTGTAAAATCTATTTTATTTTAACTGTAACTTTTTTTTTGATGCTATGGTTTTGCAGTCAGTATCAGCTGCCAATGCTATCTATCTAAAGAAGTCACACGCTCCTCAATGAGCTGTTAAATTAAAATGAACTAGCAAATTCATTTCCACTTCAGAATAAGTCTCCCTCGTGCACGCTTCTCCACTTGCAACCCCCTAATGAAAAATGAAGATAAGAGACTCCCAGTTTTGGTTCACTATATCATGATCACCAAACTTTTAGCACAAGAGAAAACACACTGCAATGATGGTAAGGATGTCCAGAAGACAGAAAAGATCACTTTCTTCCTGAAGCTGTGGTGGGTCAATGCAACCATGAAACCATTATTTTGTTGTTGTTGTTGTCAAATCCTTATTGTGAGCTTTATATTTCTATTTACTACTACTACTACCACTGCCACTATTACTACTATTACTATTATTACTACTACGATTACTATTATTATTACGATTCCTCCTATTACCATTTAAAAACAAATTTACATTTTATACTTGAAAATCTAGACATATTTTATTTCAATATTTTTTGTCAAGATATGCATTCTGGCATGTCATTCATCTACCTTTTGGTCAGTGTTTTGCTCTGAAATTGACGGCTTTTTCATCTTGGTAGTGAATAGCTCCCTTTACTACACCACTCATTTTTTTTCTGTCTAGAAGATTTCCTTATGAAATATGCACATTAAGGGCACACAGTAAGCTATTTTCACAGCTAGAAATCTTCAGTGCATGGAACATAAATGTATACAGAGACTCTGAAGAACAAATTCCACTTAAACATTGTAAATAGATGCTAGGAATTGAGACAACTTAGTAGAGAAAGCACTACAAATCCACGGGGGTGTGATATAAGAAAAGTCCTACTCTGAACAAGTGCTACTAATTTGTAACATATAGGGACAGAAGAAGTTTTAACTTTCAGAAGTGACCTTTGAACCACACACGTACTAAAATATAAAAAATAGAATATTTCTTTTGAACAGAAGGGGTGAAGAGGTGAATGATTTGATACTGCCAGAATTTAAAACATTTCATGAGATGTTTTGAAGGTAAACACATTTTCACTTTCCAAACAGTTGGAGACATTCAAAACATTACTGCCCCACTTCGTTGCTTGTTTCCATGCCTTTGCTAAAAACCTGCAAAGAGCACATGAGTGCTCCTCACCTGCTTCAGTGCAAAGTCAGCCTGCTCAGCATATGCTGCTAGGGAGATGGTGTAAATTAACCTGACTGATCTCACACAGCAAGAACAGTTTACAGAGCTCTTCCACTATGCTTTCAGTATGTTTGTTTAGCTGTATGGCAGTAACTTCTGTCTGATCACTAATAACAAGCAGCTGAGGACAATGTTTTCCACTGCCTCAGAAGAATCTGGATGACATTGGTTCACTTAATAGGTATTCCACAACAAAGGACTAGAGCTTCCCCATCACTCACTCAAATGCAGGACTGTTTACATAAAAACTTTCTAATGATAATGAATATTGAGATTTACAGATCAAGAAGAAAAATAATGCAAACCACCTGTACCATTCTATTACTCTGAATACTAATTAAATATTGAAACAAAAGCCAGTGCTTCAATTTTGACCGGTTTTGTACAGCCTCAATTTTTTTTTACGATTCAAACTTCTTAGTTTCTGATACGTAAAATCTTCACTGCTCTAACATCTGTGTTCATTAGTAAAATAAGAAAGCAATTTTGATTATAACTTAAAGATAAGGGACTATTTTAGTATCACCAGCAGTAATACCAAGATCCTGGAATTCAAACATTACATAAGGCATCACAAATACCATAATTTAATTTAGAATTAACAACTGTCACAGACTGAAGGGGGGAAAGAAAGAAGAGACTCTGTGATCAAAATTTCCCTAAATGATAGACTAGGTGTCCCTGGTACATGATCAAAGGCAAGCATATATTGCCCTTTATTCCATCTTAAAAATGTTTTGTCTAGGGAAAGGATCATATTTTAATAAAAAAATGATCCAATTACTTCAAAAGAAATCATGTGGCATGGTTAAACACAGTAAAAATTACTGCAGAGAAATTACACCAGGAATGCAGTGATTTTAGTTGTATTGTTTCCACTGGTATTCATCACCACTCTGAATCTTTTGTAATCATTTAGCTTTCTCAAGGGTTAGGGCTGGGCTGGGCACTAAATGAATCACAGATGCTCTCTAATAACCCCTCTGTCTCCCGAAAAGGGAAGGAAAAGGAAATAAGGCAGAGAGGCTTATGGACTGGAAAAGGAAACTAAAACAGCTTTAATGAAACAATAATAGCACTATTAAGGGAATCATGGACTGTATACAAATATACAGAAAACCAATATAGCTAGCAATCTGATCTAAAGATGTCCCTGCTTACTGCAAGGGGGTTAGACTAGACGACCTTTAGAGGTTCATTCCAATAGAATGCATTCTGCGATTCTGTGATATTGAACCCAAATCTCAACCCACCAAACAGCAATCCCCACTGGTGCTGCTAAGCAGGCAGCACCAGGGAAGACCGAAGCTCAGCAGCAGAGGAAAACTGGACAGAGGGGCTGGATTCAAGAATTCAGGGTCAGGATCGAGGGCAGAAGAATGGACAGAGTACTCCTGGGAAGCCAGACATTGAAGAACAGAGCTTAAGCCCCATGACCTCTTAGCTTTATAATGAATCTGACATCTATCAAATGTAATATTTTTGTTGGTCAGGCTTCAGTCGCCTGTCCACTCCTCCCTGGAGGTGTGATCTCTTTACTTCCATGTGACCTTTACTTTCTGGGAGCCCCAGTGTGGCACACTACATCCAGCAGCGACATTGGTCTCTACAGAGCAAGTATATGCAAGACCCTTTCTGCATACCTGGCAGGACCTGTCAACATCAGGCATTATCACTTCTTGTAGCAGACACTGTCTTCAAAAAAATGCTGTTAGCTTCAGAAAGCGTAGCCTCTTAGAAGAGACTGAGCTGAAAAGTACATTCACTGAACAAAATTGTTCTTGTTTATCTTAAAACAGGAGAAGCATTAATGTTATGTAACAGGCAGTAAAATTAACACAACTTGCAGATTTCTCACCTTCACACGTGTCTGTTTCAGTGCTGAACATGTAACCCTTTGGACAAGTGCAGCTGTAACTTCCAGGGGTGTTTCGACAGAGCCCATTATCGCACAGCAGCCCGTTCATCGAGCATTCATCAATGTCTGCAAAAAGATGAGACAGACATACCAGTGAGTGCAAATGCCATGAGATGAATTCACCTCCAGAAGTGGACCCTGTTGCTTTCTACAGCAACAATTAGGTTGCTGGATACTCAGTTTTCTAGAAAAGTGACTGAGCAAGGAAAAACGTCAATTCATAGTTTCAAAAGTTAATTCATTTTCAGCTTCTTACTACAAAAAATTCTGTTCAGCTTTCAAAGTTTTTCATTAGCAAGCTCTAAAGATAGTTCATGGTAAGTCTTAAAATAAGAATTATGTTTTCCTGGAATGATCTTGGGATCTTTGTCAATTATATGACTATATCAGTGTCACAACTTCACGAAGGTCTATTTCCTCTGAAACCATCATTTTAAAACTTTTCTTTTACACGTATAAATAGCAGTGTGTTATATTACTATTCTAATCCTGTTTTATGGGCAAAAATTGACTTTGTTATCCAGTAAGTGAATATGTGCTTAAAATCTAAATTGTACAGTTCCTGAATGGTGGACATATCAAGAATACACATATCTTAACTCCCCTCCAGACGTATACTGTATTTAAAAAATAAATTAAGATTAAGGCCAGGATATCAAGCACACTGAACAGAAAAAACCCCCATAAATTAACATAATTCCCTGAACTCTTCTAATACTAGCTGCAAATAATGCTATTATAAAGCAATCTTCTTCATTGTCCTAATGTTCATGTTTAAAAAGAAAAAAAAATATATTATTTTGAGCTAGTTTCCTTTAATGTCCACCAATCACAAATACTGAAGTTTTTAAAAGAATCTTGACAGGATAAGCCATGATAAATTTGATGCTTTATCCTGCTTCATGGTGTCTCCTATACTTTGATTGCTTCATTCCCAAATGTAGCACTGCAACTGAAATCTTAAATCAACTACATTTTTTAGAAGAAGAAAAACAAGAACACAACATGATTACATTTTGAAGGCTTTTTTTTTCCCCAAATACATTAGATTTTGCATGCCATGCTTATAAATCCCCTTAGGATTCAGACGATAAAGTCTAAATTTCCTTAGACAATGAATATGAGATTTTGGCATAACTGTGCTTAATCTAACTTCATTTGATCTTAACTAAGTAAAGGAGGATGGATTTGGAATTTGATGTTTTCAAGAGCAATAGACTTTAATTTCGAGCTTGTCATACAACTCTTTAACCTAAACGAGCAGTGTTATAAATGTGTTATTTCCTTAGAATATCAGAGAATAACTTCAGATATGCACTGTAAAAATACAGGACAATACAATTCATGCTCTAAAACCACTTTAAACTGACAAAAATACTGTCTGCATTCTGTCTGATGACAATTTTTATCTCCTGGCAGCTCATAATCTGTATCAATTAGAACATTTCAACCATTTGTTTAGGTGTTCATACCTTTTTCTGGAAAAATTCTCCTTTCTAAGAATAAATGCATCCTCACAAAACGTATGCTGTATTTTTATTTAAATAACTAAACAGACATCTACCTATAATAACACTTACACAATCCCAAGTGTAACTAGATAAAAAAAATCCCTTGCCATGAAATCCATTTGGAAAACAAAAATTATGTGAAGCATTTTAAGAAAACACTGATAGTTTTCTGCAGCAGTCAGAAAAGGTCATATTTAGGGCCCTTAGAAAGTAACTAGCTGTAAAATTCTTTAAGTCAAACAGATGAAAAGAAACACTTTTCCTACTTTGTGTTTGCTTTGCATCATCAGGTAAGAATGTTTGGTATACCACAGTTATACAGTCCATGTTTTCCTTACCAAAAATAGTGGGGGTTCGTTGACCACACATCCTAGTAATAGGTCAGGTAAACCTTTAAATGCAGAGAGTAATAACTCCCCAAAATAAACACATCAGATCATAGAATCATAAAATCAATCACAGAATGTTCAGGGTTGGAAGGGACCTCTAGAGGTCATCTAGTCCAACTGCCCTGCCAGAGCAGGATCCCCTAGGGCAGCCACACAGGAACACGTCCAGGCGGGTTTTGAAAGTCTCCAGAAAAGGAGACTCCACACCCTCTCTGGGCAGCCTGTGCCAGTGCTCTGTCACCCTCACAGTACAGAAATTTTTCCTCATGTTGAGGTGGAACTTCCTATGTTCCAGCTTACACTCATTATTTCTTACTCTATTGCTGGGCACCACTGAGAAAATACTGTCTTCTTCCTCTTGACACTCACCCCTCAGATATTTGCATACGTTAATAAGATCCCCCTTCAGCCATCTCCTTTCAACACTAAACAGTCCCAGTTCTCTCAGTTTCTCTTCACAGGAGAGATGTTCAAGTCTCTCAATCATCCTCATAGCTCTCCATTGGACTCTCTCCAGTAGGTCTCTGTCTCTCTTGAATTTGGGAGCCCAAAACTGGACACAGCATTCCAGGTATGGTTTCACCAGGGCAAAGCAGAGGGGAACCTCCCTAGACCTGCTGGACACACTTTTCTTAATGCACCCTGAGATTTCATTGGCCTCCTTGGCCACAAGGGCACATTGCTGTCCCATGGACAACTCACTGACCACTAGGACTCCAAAGTCTTTCTCTATGGGGCTGCTTTCCAGCAGGACATCCCCTAATCTGTTCTGGTGCCTGGCGTTTTTCCTCCCCAGATGCAGGACTCTACACTTGTCCTTACTCAGCTTCATGAGGTTCCTCTTTGCTACGGCAGCACAGCCTTCCTGGGTGTCAGCCACCCCTCCCAGTTTCGTATCATCAGCAAACTTGCTGAGGGTGCACTCTGTCCCTTCATCCAGGTCGTTGATGAAGATATTGAACAAAATTGGGCCCAGCACTGATCCCTGAGGAGCACCCTCGGCCAAAGGCCTCCAACTTGACTCTGTGCCACTAATCACAACTCTCTGAATTCTGTTGCTGAGCCAGTTCATAATCCACCTCACACTCCAATCACTTATCCCACATTTCTTGACTTTACCTACGAGGATGTTTGCCTTATTGAAGTCAAGGTATATGACATCCACTGCTCTCCCTTCATCAACCCATTTGGTTACGTTCTTGTAGAAGGATATCAGGTTAGTCAGGCAAGATTTCCCCTTGGTAAATCCATGCTCTCTGTAACTGATAACTTTTGTTCCAATTGATTAGAGATGGCCTTCAGAATGAGGTGCACCATCATCTTCCCAGGGATGGAGGTGAGACTCACTGGCCTGTAGTTGCCAGGGTCCTCCTTCTTGCCCTCTTTGAAGACTGGGGTGACATTGGCTTTCTCCCAGTCCTCAGGCACCTCTCCCATTCCCCATGATTTTTCAAAGACGATGGAGAGTGGCTCAGCCACAACATCAGCCAACTCTCTCAGCATACGTGGATACACTCTGTTGGGGCCCATGGATTTGTGCGTTTTCAGTTTTTCTAATAGTTCTCTAACCAAATCCTCACTGACCAGTAGAGAATCATCCTCATTTATTTTCCTCCCTTACTTCTAGGGACTGGAATTCCTGGGGGCTGGCCTTGGGAGTAAAGATAAAGTACTTAAAAGTAAAGGCAAAGAAGGGATTCAGATGGTAAATCAACACTTAAGACTTCCCAATTGGAAGTTTTTTTAATTAATCATTCCTGTATACTGGTGACCTGAAATTGTGAAGAAGAAAAGAATAGCTGTTACACTTGAACCCTCTGTTAATACATGATTCGTGAAATCCTGAAGTGGATCATCATTTCCTTCATGAGGTGAAGCCTTCAGAAAATAGAAGACTAAGTGGGCAGCTACCTATTCTATTGTATTTTTGTAACTAAGCAACATCATGAATTATTGCACAGTGAAGAGATTTTGTATGTAGTCCACCAGTTAAAATTCATTATGATAATGATAGCCATCTGTTACATTTTCTTATGCAAAGTCATGATCTTCAGCTCTTGACAAACTGTCATCCAAACTTGAAAGGGACACATTTTAGGCGGTCTTAACAGACATTACACATTAAAACGTAACACAAACTGATCCATGCTTTTGAGAGAATTAATTCCTAACCTGCAAAGACATCTTCTGCTTGCACTTTCCAAACAGTAATGCCACCCCGTCAAATAACAGAAAAATACATCAGGAACAATACTAGCTATGCAGTGACTATGAGAAGCAGTTTCATTAGAGAGTTTTTGCATTTTCTTTATGGCTTTAAGAAGAAGATGTCCTGAAAACTAAATTCTGTCAATTCAAATTAGCATCAATATAGTGATGAATTATTTAACAGTAATAAAAATACCAAGCAACTTACCTATGCAATTCCTTCCAGAAGGATCAGGTTCATAGCCACTGTTACAGTTACAACGGTAGCTGCCACGTAAGTTTTCACAAATTCCATTGGAGCAAATATCAGGATCCAATGCACATTCATTAATATCTGTATTAACACAACAGAAGGTAAACAGATACTGAAAGATATTAAAAACGTGATCCGGTGACAGGTGTGGACAATACCTGACTCACTGGATGTTGGGGCTGTCATTCAGAGCAAGGGTATCACATGGGTGCAGCCAGAAGGCTGAAAGAAGCAAAGAATTTCAGTAAAGAATTTGACACCGTCTCCTACAGCATCCTCACAGCTAAACTGAGGGAGTGTGGTCTGGATGACCGAGTAGCGAGGTGGGTTGTGAACTGGTTGAAAGGAAGAAGTCAGAGAGTTGTGGTCAATGGGGCAGAGTCTAGTTGGAGGCCTGTATCTAGTGGAGTCCCTCAGGGGTCAGTGCGGGGGCCAGTGCTGTTCAATATATTCATCAATAACCTGGATGAGGGATTGGAGAGCACTGTCAGCAAGTTTGCTGATGACATGAAACTGGGAGGAGTGGTTGACACACCAGAGGGCTGTGCTGCCATTCAGAGAGACCTGGACAGGCTGAAAAGTTGGGTAGGGAGACATTTTATGAAATATAACAGTGGCAAGTGTAGAGTTTTGCACCTAGAAAAGAATAACCCCATGTACCAGTATAGGTTGGGGACTGAACTGCTGAAGAGCAGCATAGGAGAAAGGGACCTGGCGGTTCTAGTGGACAGCAGGATGACCATGAGCCAGCAATGTGCCCTTGTGGCCAAGAAGGCCAATGGCATCCTGGGGTGTATTAAAAGGGGAGTAGCTAGTAAGTCGAAGGAGGTCCTCCTGCCCCTCTACTCTGCCCTGGTGAGGCCACATCTGGAATGTTGTGTCCAGTTCTGGGCCCCTCAGCTCAAGAGACAGGGAACTGTTTGAGAGAGTCCAGCGCAGAGCCACGAAGATGATGGGGTGGAACATCTTCCTGATGAGGAAAGGCTGGAGGAGCTGGGTCTCTTTAGCTTGCAGAAGAGGAGGCTGAGGGGTGACCTCATAAATGTTTATAAATGTGTAAAGGGTGAGTGTCAGGAGGACAGAGCCAGGCTCTTCTCAGTGATGTCCAATGCCAGGACAAGGGGCAAGGTGTACAAGCTGGAGCATAGGAAGTTCCGCACAAAACATTAGAAAAAGCTTTTTTACTGTGAGGGTGACAGAGCACTGGCACAGGCTGCCCAGGGAGGTTGTGGAGTCTCCTTCTCTGGAGACATTCAAAACCTGCCTGGACACGTTCCTCTGTGATCTACTATAGGTGATCCTGCTCTGGCAGGGGGGCTTGACTAGATGATCTTTTGAGGTCCCTTCCAACCCCTAACATTATGTGATTCTGTGATTCTGTGATTATTCCCCTCTGTTTGACACTGCTGAAGCCAAACTTGGAATAGTGCTTCCAGTTTTGGGCCACTTCATGAGGTTCACATGGGCCCAATCCTCAAGTATGTTAAGGTCCCTCTGAATGGTATCGCTTGCCTCTGGCAAATTAACTGCACCACTTAGCTTGGTGTCATCTGCAAATTTGATAAGGGTGTACTCAATTCCACTGTTTTATGTCATTGAGGAAGACATTAAGCCATATTGGTCCCAGTATGGACCCCTTGAGTCTCACCAATTGTTACTGGTTTCCTCTCAGACATTAAATCATTGACCATAGCTCTTTGCACATGACCATCCAGCCAGTTCCTATCTGCCTAACAGTCACTCCACTAAACTCATCTATCTTTAATTTAGTGGAGATAGAAGAATGTTGTTGGGGTCTATATCAAAGGTCTTAGAGAAGCCAAGATAGATGATACCAGTAATTCTTCCGCTGTACACTGGTGCAGCCACTCCACTGCAGAAGGCTGCTAGGGTAGTCAGGCATGATTTGCCCTTGGTGAAGCCATGTTGGCTGCCTCTAATCACCTCGATACTCCATGTTTTGACTTAACTTCCAGGAGGATCTGCTCCATGATCTTATCATGTGCTGAGGTTAGGCTGGTTGGCAGTTCCCAAGGCCCTCCTTTTTACTTTTTTTTTCCCTTTTTTAAATGGGTGTGATACACCCTTCTCTGCACTCACTGGAGATTTCACCTGTCATTTCTCAAATATTACAGAGAGTGGCTTAGTAACTACATTTTCCAGTTCCCTCAAGACCCTGGGATGCACCTCATCATATCCCACAGACTTTTGTTCTTCAGGTGGTCTTGAACCTGATCCCTATGCTGGGAATGACTCTGCTCCCCAAGTCGTTGCTTTGATGTTCAGAGACTTCAGATGTAGGAAGACTGATTACCAGTGAAAACTCAGGCAGAAGAAATAGTTGAGCAGTTTAGTCTTCTTATGTCAGTTGTCACAGGCTCTCCTGTCTAATTTATAGTGTTTCTGTGTATCTGTGTGCACTTTCTTGTACTCTTACTTTTCTCACTACTGTACCTGTAGAAATCAGTCATATTCTTTGCATTCCTTGTCAAATTCAACTCCAGCTGTGCCCTAGCTTTCCTGATCCCATGCCTACACAACTGGGCAGCTTTCCTGCATTCTCCCCAGGATACATGTCCCTGGTTCCACCACCTATGAATTTCTTACTTACACTGTAGTTTGACCAGAAGGTCCTTAATCAGCCATGCCAGCCTCCTATGCCTCCTCACATAGGAACTGAGAGCTCTTGTGATCTAAGGAAAATATTCTCAAAGAGCTGCCAGAGCTATTCTGCTCCTTTATCCAGGAGGGCAGTTTCATAGGAGGTCACATTCATTTATTTCTTTTAAAAATGAAAACTTTCTCTTCTAACATCCGGAGTCCTGGCTTTAGTCTTCACCTAACTCAAGACCATGAGTTCCACTAGGGCATGGTCACTGCAGCCTGCAGTTGCCATCAGATTTGACCTCTCTAATTACTTAATCTCTGTTGGTAAGCAACAACTCTTCTTTGAGGTATGCAATGACAGGGACAACAGTTTATAAGTTACAACAGGAGATCAGGAAACTTTTCCCCCACAAGAGTGGTTACAACTAGAGAAAGCTGCCCTGTGAGATTATGAGAACTCCATCCTTGAAGAATTTCCAAACTTCACTGGGCAAGGCCCTGAGAAGCCTAATTCAACTTTCAAGTTATCCCTGCTCTGAGGAGAAGGTTAGGCTGGATGACCTCCAGATAGCCTTTCCAAACTAAATCAACAGCGAAATATGTGTTTATAAGAATACCTTCATGCAAAATATCAAGCCTGTGCACTAAGTGCCTTCATCTAGGTGAGAAGTTATAAATTACTAGGTGACATAAATACTTTTCCTAATATATAACTAATCCATAGGTCAATACCATAGCATACTCAGTTTTGCAGGAGTTACAGCACTTGAAGGAAATTTAAAATTTTTCTCAGTTCCACAGAATGGGATGATGAATGAGATATATTCCCTGAATTTACAGTGTCATACAGAATTTTTCTGTAGTTGGAAAATTCAAAAATATTCATATGAACAGGAATAGGCTAATTTTAATATTTTTTTTGCCTTGGAGGAAAAAAGAGTTTTTCAATATTAAGGTATTTTTTTCCCATATGGTAAGCCCATTACTTTAAATAATTCCCTTTCCAAATCCTGGACAGAATAGTAGGAGTGCTGGCCTAGTCATAAAAACCTTGTTTTATATTTGTAGTGCTCAAGTTTTTATAAAGTACATTTCCTCTTTAATCATAGTGCAGTTTGGATCATGATTTATACACACTCAGGTAAGCATCTGGAAAAATCGTGCTGTCCCTGGATTAAACTCAAAACTATGAGACACCTGAAAATTTAATAAGAAAATACAAATTAGCATAATATTTCAGGTTTATGCTTTCTTTTGAGAAAAAAGTTTTCTGTAGTTTACTAAACTTGTTTGTATCTTGGGAACAAGCGACACAATTTCATGACTCTATCTCTCCATACCAAATTAATGATTTCAGAAAGTCCAGTTCCTCCTGTTATAGACTGCAAAATCTCTCTCCTTGCCTACGTCCATATTTCTCTCACTTGAAGACATGGCTTTGTGCTTGTTAAACAGAAGCTGAATAAGAAGAGTAGGAATGTGCTGATGAACTGCAGTCTAATTAAGGTGTGTATCAACCAGAAGTCAAAATCTCTACAACAAGAGCTTCACAGTCAGTACACAAGTTGTAGAGAAAATACTAGGGTTTTCTTTAGAAACCTACACGAAAAGGGACTTAAGCTGAGACATGAATCCCTGAACATTACAGTCTTTATCATATAGCAGGTAGAGACCACAATTGCCTTTATGTTTTTAGTGAGAAATTGCATTTTCCATGTATTCAAAAGAAGACATAACCTCCCTATCAGATTACAGGCAAATTCTCTTGGCAGGATGTTGTTTGTACAACAACATTGCCATTATTTCTCCATGAGATTTAGATATTCTTCAAATGTACTTTGCATCATTCATTGAGAAGAAAACTGAGAGAATTTACAAACTCTCTGGATTTGAAATTCCTCCTAAGTTTGCCAATATATTAAGCAATGAGCTCATAGAGAAGGAAAAACTATGCATATACACTTACAGTACTGATCAGACACAGAATTTCTTTTATTATAGTACTATTTTTAAAAGTTACGTAGGCTCTTACTAAGTATAATGATCAGAGGGTCTCATTCTGCTCCTCTGATCTGTCAGCTTTAATGCTGACAAGGATAAAAGCTATACAAATTAAATGCCTGGAAATATTAAATGTATGGTATCTACTTTGATTTGGCTGCAACTTTAACTCACCAGGGGACTACTGAGCAGTAAATCATAGTACTTTGTTCCACCATTCCTTTTTTCAACCCACTCTACTTACTTGGCAGCATGCATTGCCTCTACTTCAGGCCTGGCTCAGCTAATATTTTTAAAATATCTCTCTCTGCAGTACTAGAAGAAGGAACTGGAGCTTTACAGTTCCCAGTATTAAATGCAAGTGCTCACTTTCAGGACTTTTTTCACAAGGGTGTCTTTTGGTAAGCTCCTTTCCAACCCTAATGTACCAGAGAAACGATTCCCCCATGGTAACAGCCCATGTAGTGAACACTAGATCTGGAGTGGAAAATTGCTCTATTACTATCCCAGAGGACTGCAAATCAACTGTAAATGCAAGTGGCTCCTGTTGTTCCCCAAATGATCGAGAAACGTCTTACGCATATTCTAAAAAGAATAAACTACAGGTCAAATCTTTTTTTTGTTCCTATTGGGATCACGCAAAATCCAAAGTTGCAGAGAATTAATTCTGGTCTTTTCTTTAAGCAACATTTAAATGTTGTACTTTGACAATGAAAATATAAAATCAACATATTCATCTTGTTGCAAAAAAGCTCCACTCCAGTATGTTAAAGAAAAATCAAACTCTGAGTTTAATTTTTTTTTTTAACCTTGAATCATACATGTTAAAGAAAAACGTGCAACATACCTCGTCCATCCACAGTAATACCTATGCCACTGCTACACAGGCCATGGAATTCGGCTACTCAGTTGAAGCAAGAGATGTTGGGAAAAAAAGAAAATGTTATTTCCATTGTTCCATATTCTTTAATGCAAAATCAATCCCATCTTACCTTTTTTCGAAATAATTTTTCTACAATGTATCTAATAAAATGTCATTGTTCACATGAAATAACTATTTATAGGTAATACAGCTAAATATGCCAAGTAGCGTTCCTGCACTTTCACATATAGATAGAAATTGAATTCGATAACAAGTATTAAACATTCGATTTCACTATAGTCTTGACAGTACTGTCTCTTTAAGTTACTGCTTTCAACCATTATGCCAGTTTTACTTTTGCTTTAAAGTTTTGTTCTATTCCAGAAAATGACACTGAATGGAAATATTGTTCAAGATACATCATCTTCTGACCTCTGTTTTCAAGAGTTTGGGGCTTTTTTTAATCAATTCCCATGTTTATCTGAAGAATTGATTCTTATGAAATGAAATGCAGATTTCTTAAATTAATACAGGCTGCTCTTTCAAATCAGTTGCTTTGACTAGGAAATTTACAGACTCATCAGAGAATTCTGCTTATTCTCTTTAAAGTATTATAGCTTATAGCCCACACTTAATTCAGGGATCTAACTTCATCCACAGCATACCTGTCCTCTGTTTTGAATTTTGTTACAGTCTGGCCAGCTCTGGAACTAGGTTCACCTCAAATGTTACAGTGCATAAAAATATAAACCCTCAAAATAAAATACAAGAGAGTTTTTCTTTAAAGGAGAAATAATTTCCAGAATCAGTATACAATTTCACTAAGCAACTTATTCACTTCTCTTTAAGGCATGAAATAAATGAACAACCTGATTTTAAAGATTTTAAATCTGTATGTTCACTGTAGTATTCAGAGAAACACAAATTTTTACCTGAGTTTTTAGCAGGACAGGGGTTACATGGCTCTCCAAACCCATAGTCAGGATTCGCACAGCAACATTCAGACTTTGTCACAGCACCAGGGAAAGGACGGACACACACTCCTTTTTTGATGCCTCCATAGCATGTGCTACGCATATGAGTATCTAAGAACAGGCAAGCAAGGAAATAATTTATTCCCTTAGTCCCAGAGTGAAATGTATGCATGCTATCTCAATGAGAGCATAAATAAATAAATGAACAAACAAACAAACATATAAACAAATAACCAAAAATATGTTTATATTAGCTACATCTGCATTGCTCGGCTATAATAAACCTGATGGCACCATGGCCAATTCTCAAAATGAATAGCTCATGGAGCTCTCTCCAGAGCACTTTAAAACCACCTGAACTACCACACCGTGAACAAATTTAAAAGTGTTCCACAGGACCAGTAAAGATGATCCACAGATCTGAGCAGCATTGTAAAAAGAATCATAGAACAGTTTCAGTTGGAAGAGACCTTCAAGATCATCGAATCCAACCTTTGTCCAAGCCCTATCAACACCACTAAACCATGTTCCTCAGCACAGTATCTACCCATCTCTTGAAAACTTCCAGGGATGGCAACTTAGCCACCTCCCTGGTCATGCTGTTCCAATGGCTGAAAACCCTCTCAGTATAGAAATTCTTCCTAATATCCAACCTGAATCTCCCCTGGCACAATTTAAATCCATTTCCCCTTGTCTTATCACTTGCCAACAGGGAGAACAGATCAACCTCCACCTCACTACAACCTCCTTTCAGGTCAATAAGGTCTCCCCTGAGTCTCCTCCATGCTAAATAGCCCCATATCCCTCAGACTTTCCTCATAAGACACATGTTTCAAATCCTTTACCAGCTTCGTAGCTGGCCTCTGTACCCTCTCCAGCACCAAAATGTCCCTCTTGTAGTGAGGGGCCCAAAACTGGACACAGTACTCAAGGTGAGGCCTCACCAAAGCCGAGTACAGGGGCATGATCACCTCCCTGCTCCTGCTGACAACACCATTCCTGATCCAGCCAAGATGCCATTGGCCTTCTTGGCCACCTGGGCACACTGCTGGCTCATGTTCAGCCGGCTGTCCATCAACACCCCCAGGTCCCCCTCTGCCTGGCAGCTCTCCAGCCACTCCTCCCCCAGCCTGTAGCATTGCTGGGGTTTGTTGTGGCTGAAGTGCAGGATCTACAATTTGGCCTTGTGGAAACTCATGGTATTGGCCTTGGCCCAGCGATCTAGCCTGTCTTGATCCCTCTGTAGATCCTCCCTCCCTCAAGCAGATCAACACTTCCACCCAGCTTGGTGTCATCTGCAAACTTAATGAGGGTGCACTCCATCCCCTCGTCCCATTAAACAAGACTGGGCCCAGTACTGAACCTTGGGGGAGACCACTCATAACTGGCTGCCAACTGGATTTATCTTCATTGACCACAACTCTTTGGAATTGGCCATCTAACTAGTTTTTCACTCAGGAAAGGATATGCCCATCGAAGCCAAGAGCAGTCAATTTCTCTAGGAGAATGCTGCAGGCAACTGTGTCAAATACCTTACTAAAGTCAAGGTAGACAACATTCACAGCTTTTCCTTCATCTGTTAACACACACCTCAGTAGGAATAAAAATCATCTGTATCACTATGTGGTGATTAATTTCTCCCTTTGAAAATGACTATAGCCTTGACCTGGACAGGAAGATCTCATTCACTTCCAAAATAGTTTCTCATGCAGGATAATTCACCTGCAGCTCAGAGCTGGTAATACCAAAGGCCACTTATTTCAGAAAAGAAGATAATAGCTTCCTACTGTTTTTACCAATTCTGGACAGAAATGAAATTTCAGAAGATTTTTCACACCATCAGTTAAGTCACATGGCTATCTTAACAGGTTTATGTGTAAGCAGGCATCAATGCTGGATTAGGGTTGGGATATCAGAGATGCAGCAATACCTAGCTCTCAATAGCAATTTAGAAACTCTTACAGATGAATAGGTAGTGGGAAAAGCAGCACAGCTGCCTAGATTACAAGGTATTTCTGGAGGTTTGCGATTGAAAAACCACCATAGAAGAAAAATTTCATAGGACATCTCCACAGCTGTAGGACTCATCATGTGCACACTGCCTGTCTTGAGGATGATTTAGTCACACAAATCAATCTGACTGACTCAACCAGCAAGGTGTAGTAAGATGCATTTTCTAAGGCAGGCCTTCAGTCCTACCTTAGCAGATGTAATTATTTGCTATAATTACCCAACGACTATAAGAATGTCTCTTAGCCTGCTTTTTATGTGTTTTGTTTGGGGTTTCATTGTTGGTTTGTTTTTTTGGTCATTCCAGGCTTAGACACCTTTTTCATATTTGCTTACAGGATAGCAATTAGACATTTCCTAACATCATATGAGTGGACAGTCCACCTAAATGTGTAGTTGAGAACTGCAGGATACAGATGATCTTTAGTTTTGACTCCTATACTTCTACAGACATTTGTTGGAGCTACAGAAATACTCTGTTTCCAGCATCTCTGGACCAAGCCAATCCTCACCAATCTCCCAGTAAAACTACTATGCACAGTGGTCTGGACATAAGGCTGGGTGCACACAGAAACTAAGTGGTATTTGGGGGAATCCAGAGAGTTACCACCCAAAACAGCAAAGAAATGTGGCATGAAAAATCTTACAGCAAATGTTGAATATCCTATGCCAATCTGAGTAAGACCTGGCAATTCCTCACGTGTTCTTCGAGTGTTGTAAGCTGGCTCCTAAAACCAGGCTTGCCTGTACATAAATGTTTTCTCTTGCTTTTGGTATCCCATGGAACAGACAGTTCTGAAGCACAGTTAAATGTGTCCCAAATTTCAGGGCTTATTCCTTGCCAAGAGTCCAGGTGAAGTCAGTACAGTTTCGTTGCATTTGACAGCAGGAAAAGATTATTATGCTTGACAACAACCGATAATTTCTGCTTATGTACTCCGCAAAATAATTTGTTGCATCACATCATTTCCCTCCACCTCTAAAAAGTCCAGATACCACTCTGCCATGCTCTGTCATAAATACAGGGGCTTCCATCATTGCCCTGTGACAGAAGGGAAGGCTTCCCCCTAGTTATGTGTCTATGAGAGAATGGAGAAGCAATTTAGTGGGAGGAAATGGCACTGAGGGAAACTGCCATGGGAAAAAAAAGACTGGAAAGTGTGAAAGAAATACTCTGTAGGAACATCGTCAAAGATGTGAAGTGTCGGAAGCAGCTGGAGGAAGTTACAGATGTAACAAGCAACTGTTCTGCATAAACACAGAGACAAGATGGAAGAGGTTGCCCAGAAAGGTCGTAGAAGTACCATCCCCGGAAACATTCAAGGTCAGGTTGGACAGTGCTCTGAGCAACCTGATCTAGCTAAAGATGTCCCTGCTCACTGCTGCAGGACTGGACCAGACAACATTTAAAGGTTCCTTCCATACCACAACATACTATAATTCTATAAGTGATTTTCCACATAAAGCAGTGTTTTTATAGAACAAGCACAAGGAATTTGGGAAGGATTGCCTAATCAGTTATAGGAGAAAAGTCTTATCTACAGAGTCAGTGATTCACAAAGCCTGCGCAGGATAAAGAACCAAACTGGACCAGAATCAAAAACAGTGATCATATTCCAGGAAGAGTGTCTATGTGTCCCATGCTGATAGCAACAGCGAGGATAGGCACCACTTTGTCCATAGCTTATTTGCTGTAGGCACCTCATCAAGCTCAGGTTCCTTATGTCACAACAGTTTTCAGCATGCACCTCACTGATGAACTTGTTCCTCTCCCCATGTATAGTTTGACCTGCCCTTGGCTACTAATTTCAGAAAATTGGAGAACTTATTCCCCAGATCAGAGTTTAGAATTGGTGTGCCTTTAACTGTGTACCCGTCTATGGGAAACTCCACTGTTTCCTGCAGAATAGCATTTCTAGGCTCTCAAATTTAGCGGTGTGGCACTTCAACACTTGCAAATGTTATCATCACCATATTTTTTCATCAAGGTCAGGTGGACCAGCGGTTGACCTATTCTCAGTGAAAGTCACTGCACCCACCCAGATGCCTTAGAAGGCCAAACCATGCAACGCTCCTGACAGGAACTTTGAGATATAGTACTGAAATATAACCAGGGTAAAATAAAACTATTTTGTCCTGGATAGCTGGAGTTTTGGGCAGAGATATGAACTGCAGCCTGAATGATAATTAAAAATGTCTCAGCAGAGAACCAAAAGCACTGCGCAAAGCTATAGTCATGGATCAATATAAGTTCTGAGATGATGCACAAACACACACAAACAGGGACAGACGAGGTATGCGAGCATGGAGCTGCAGTTAGAAGTACACCCAAACCTGAAATGCCTGCAAATACTAGTTTGGCTCTGAGTATTTATGTAATCGTTCCTTTCCCAAGCATTTGTTCCTCCTTGTTGTATTTTTTCCCCCTTGCTCTATTTTCTTCCAAACTTCTATAACATTTTGTGATTACTCTGCCATACTTACTAAATAAAAAAGCAATTTACTCTATGAATAGTCCCACCAGAATCAACAGCACTATTAAGAAGGAAAACACAACTCAAAGTAAGAGTGAGAGAATTGGATTGTAGGCTCTTTGATTTTATGTTTTTGCTGATTGCCTAGTACATTTGCAGGAATACTGTTTAAAGGGAAGCACCATGTCACTTTGTGACTTTCAGTCCACAAATCCTCTTCTAGGAGCCGGAATGTCTGAAAAGTATTATTTAAGTCATGTAATATATGAGACAGAAAAGTGAGACAGAAAATTCCTGTAGTTAACATAGCATGTGTTTGTATATATAAACACACATATATATATACACACATATAAAATACCAAACAGCAGATTGGCTTGGAAATTCTATTCTAAAGGTCATGTATGAGGTTATTTTTGTTATGCAATATTTGAAATTTCCTATGTTACTTTATGCCTGGAATAATTACACGATCTTTTAAAAATAAATTTTCCAAAAAAAACTATGATTCCACCTTAGGATTTTTGTCATACTACATATATTTCAAAATGCTGAAAATCTGAGCATTTATGGTAATCCTTAAAGCTGTGTGACATGCAAAGCTGAACATTTTCAGATAAAAAACAGCAATCACAGCTAATGTTCAACTTGTGAAGACTTTAGCTGCTAGAACTGTGGTAGCATTAGGTAAATGAAAGCAGATAAAACTTAGCACTGCACTGAGTTCTTGTAGCTCTATCAATGACAGGGGTAAAGACAAGGCCAACTTGGATCACAAAAAAGGTACTGAACAGCTGCACTCAAACCTGGTTTGGCTGTTGTGCCACTAAGCAGTGAAATTCCTATATTATAAACAGTATACCAAGGCTTTTCTCACTGTTTTATCTTTTCATTACTTTCCTCCAAATGCTTAATAAACCAGCAGAAAACAACTTGGCTACTACATTAGAAACAACAAACATTGCTTTTGTTAGTTCAATGATCAGTACAGTTTTTCTTACTAAAAAAAATTTTATTTTAAAAAAATAAATACTTGGATTCCAACTGAGTGATTGAGAAGGTGTTCTGGCTTTTTATTAGCCTATTTTTTAAGCCATTCTGAGCTTCTGCCATGTGGTTTTTAAATTGAAGTGTTAACAAAAAGGGATAGCTTGCACAAGCACTTGATAGAACTGTCTGCACTAGATCTGATTTTAAAGAAAGATGAATCTCTGCATAACTTAAAATTTTCTTTTAAACTAACTGATAATATCAACAGGAGGATGTAGATTCTCACAGTGCTTTGATGTGAGATACCCTCTAAACGCAGTGATGTATTCAGACACATGCATCAGCAACAACAGTTATAGCACTGATTATTTCATTAACTTAATTCCATGCCCATCCACTAACTGCACTTTGGGTCACCAATATGCCTGATGATAGACACAACTACGAGCTAGGAGAGAAGAAATTTAGAGGATACTAAATTGATGTTCTGATATACAGAAGAATGGAAAAATGGTATCTCCTGCCAATTAAATTTAAGGAACTTTGCAGTATTGCAGTCCCTAATGCATGCAGCTCCATCACTCTCAGAAACTTTTATAAAATGTATCATTTTTCTCCACCCTCTTCAACAATAAAGAGTAGAAAACAAGGGACAGAATACCTCTTGCTCTCTGATGTTTTTTTTATTCTTTATCGGGTTGAAAAAGCTCCACTTTTCTCCAGTGAGCTCCCCGAAGCTATGCTAGAGCTCATGGTGGAGTTGGCTGAAGAATCTCTTAGCTGTCAACTGGTAACATTTGAGGGGGTAAGAAGCTACAGTTCAGAATACATGACAAAAATTTTTCAATAGCAGACTAGAAAAGCTATGCCTCAGAATCAAAAAGAGATGCCAGGAAAAGTAAACATGGTAAGCTTAATTTACAGGAGTAACAGGTAAGAAAGAGCGGTGCCCCTTAGATTTCACAAAGGAATTTAAGCTTCTTGCCTTTTCCTAATTACAATTAATAACGATATTTGAGTTCACAGACACAAGTCTATCTAGTTCTCATTATGTCTCCCACTAGAGCTTTTTACTTTTTTTAACACTATGGTACAGGAAGAATAAGGTGTTTTCAGATCAGACAAAAAAATGAAAAAAAGTTCAAAAAATATGAGTGTCTCAACCAAAGTATCTACCTGTTTTAGTGATTTGGTGTGGATGATGCACAATTGAATATATACAGAAATATACATATATGTATTTGTGTATGCACATACATGAACACAGATACATAGCAGAAAAAAAGACAAATACACCAGATTTATCCTAGAACAGATCATCTCTGGTTTGATGTTGACACTGTCTACAAGGATGTCACTTGATGCATTTCTTTAATTCGACAACCTGATAATTCTACTTGCTTGTCAATGAAAAAACACCCCACTTACCTACACACACACGACCATCAACTCCAACCGCCAAGCCAGGTGGACACTCACACCGAAAGGATCCTTCAGTATTTATGCAATGACCATTCATGCAAATACCCGATGTCTGGCATTCATCAATATCTATCAGGAGGCAACACAATTCAACAATCTATTTGCTATTTATAAGCAAGATTACAATTAATATTTTTAGACCATTAACACATGACTTTATGATAGCAGATTAATTGTCAATATATCCTTGTCTTGTTTCTAATAAAAATCTCATCTTGGAATTACACTAAATAATCAAAATTCCGCCTGGCCATTAGAAAAAACATAGAAAAAGACAACAGAAAAACTGTAGGATTAGAGGCACTTCAGTTTCCACATTAAGAAAAATTAATGATAAATTTTTCCCTTTGTCCATCTCATGATACTATAACTTTGCTTTAAAGTGTGCATAGGGAAACACTAAACACAGAATATCCATATGATGTTAAATTTTACTTTTGTAGGAATTTTCAGTGATCATCAATTTCTATCCAAGTCAATATATTTAAGTCCAGATACGTGTACATTATGAAAATCACAAATAATATAAATGTTTCAACTTCAAATCAGAAAACTAACAAGTTATACTATTTTGTACTTACTAGAAATTACTCAAGCTCAAAACTACTTCTACAGGCTGCAACAGGTATTGGCCATTAGTTTACTTAAAATGGAGGTAAATCAGACTCTATTCTTAAAATGTTTAATGTAAGTTTTCCATGACCTCATTTAAAAAGTTTGTAATGCTATGTGGCAAATACAATGTCTTAAGTGTTATGCACTCTGAATTGTCAGAAAAGTGATGTGGAAAACATAGTTGTCAGTGTTCATCAATATAAAGTCTTTTAAACTTTTTAAACTTCACATATTGCTGCTCACTTTACCATTTCATGAAGGGCCTGGATATTTTGCCACATTTACAATGCTCCAAGACTCTTCAAAAGCTAATTTATTATCTGTTGTAGATTTCACAATATTATTAAATAATTCAGCTACTTCTTTCTGTGGGTTAAAGACGTATTTCTATCCTAGGCAGCTTAAGAAATCTACTGCAATGAGTATTAGTACGATATTAAATCCATGGGACAAGATTGCCATTCTTGAATGAATGAACGAATGGACAGGAAAGCCGATTTCAGTCAAGATTGTCTTAATGTGTTATCCCTCAGTTCTACATACCAGTACAGTAGCGGCCATTTGGAGCAAGAACAAACCCTGGTTTGCAGATGCATTTGAAACTCCCATCTTCGTTTATGCACATCCCATTTAAACACATGTTTGTAGTGGCACATTCATCATGGTCTGCAAAATATTGCAAATAAAACAAGTTCCTCATGTTCCAGAAGATGACACAGTAAAAATAAACAATCAGGAATTATGTGATATATTTCTTCACTTGAAGAGTAAATTCTGCTGATAACTCTGAGGAAGAATCTGAAGAGTTTTCACTCCATGGACAAAGCAACAAATATTATTCCTACTATGACCAGTTACTTTTTATGTACCAGCAGACTGTGTATGCAAGAACACTGTTCATCTTTCTTTCTCACTTGAAAGGGTAAAAAGCTTCAACCACCTGATAGAATTAACAGCTTGTTTATCTAGGAAGTGTTTTCTTTCTTCTTACATAATGCAGTCAAAATCAAAACCAGGTATTTCTTCATCAATGCTGATATATGGCGAATTGGCTATGAAGCCTTAGGAAAAAATGTTATTTCTGGCCCTGAATCAGCTGGGACACTTGAGGAGAGATGTAGCTTCAAAAGCAAAAATTACTTCAAGTTTCCTTTGACATCATGCAGTTCTGAACAGTAACTATTTGAATGTAGGGCCTATAAATTCACCTCAGGTCATACTTTACTTCAAAAAAGGGTAATCCTTAGTGATCCTTAATTGTCATATGGACTACAACTTCTAGAATCACCAAGCCAATGTCTGCCTCACTATTTCGAAGAGTTCTTACCCACACAATTTTTTCCATCTGTAGACAGTTCAAACCCAGCATTGCAAATACACTGGAAACTTCCATCAGTGTTTACACACCGTCCATTTTTACAAAGAACACCATTCTGGATGCACTCATCGATATCTAAGGAAAAAAAAATGTAAAATTTTTAAACAATTTAAGAATCACAGAGTTAGACAATTACTCTAAGATAAAAATGTAAATAGTGACAATTATTGCTTTGAATAATATTATCATGTTTTTTTAAATAATATCTAGAAAAAAATTTCCAAATATGTTCAAGAATTTATTTTCATTGCACCAGAGGTAGGAAAAACATTATTTTACAGACTTGTATAATAAATGCTACATTTTCTGAGGCTTAGCAATTACTTTATGAATGCCTTTAAAAATGTACTTACATATTCACCTGTGCATGTACATAAATATACACCTGTCACACTAATAGTCTATTACTTGATTTTTTTGTAGAACTCTCACCTCGGGAATTCCTAGCCAAGTGACAGATACTCCAGGAAAATGGATAAATGTTAAAAGACAGCAACAGAATCAATGGAATGGTATCCCAGAACTAGAGCCCCAATTAATATAACAACTGGGATCTACTGAAATTGCATTGCTAATTACTTTTTTAACTCCAGTGGGATCTCACATAAAAGGGTCGGACCATCTGGAATGTCAGTAGATGTGAAGGAAATTTTCTTACCAATGCAAGCTTGTTTGGTAGGAGTTCTCTGGAAACCTGTGTGGCACTTGCAGTAATAGGAACCAGGTGTGTTGACACAGTCTCCATTAGAGCATGGGTTTGATGTGCATTCATCAACATCTGTTGGCAGCACAGGGGAGCATTAGTAACTTCACAGCATACACAACATTTTTTTCAAGTCGAGAAGTTTGTAAGTGAAGAAGATGGAACTTGTTCTTGGTGCAAAATCATTTCTTTCCTAAGAACACAGAGCTGTTCTTACTCCAGCTAGGCAGACATTTTTAAGAAGTGAAATACCACGACATCATTTATACTACATCTTGAAAAACAAAAGAAAAAATATGTGTGAGGATTTTGAGACATGGGATCTGACAGTTGCTGAGTGAAAATTAACAGAATCACAGCGTCGCAGTTTACATAGTTTCATTTTACTGAATGACATAAACCCAATGCAAATCAAAATTAGTATTTTAAAATCAAAGTGAATCATGGCATCTAAAAAAAATCAATTACATTACAGATTTATTGTAGAAATGTGAAGAGGGGTGACATATCAGCAGGAGGGATTCTTAATGAGGCCACAGTCTGTGCACCACATCTCAATGTTTTATGCCCCATTGCATCCTCAATCCCAGCCTTTGCATTTGAGTAATGCCAGATTTAATCTAGTCCTTCTGTATAATTTACCTTACTCTCCCTTCCAAGGTTTCTGGTAGTTAGGTGCAAGCAAAAACACTTTAGCCACTTAAATGTCAGGTAATTCTCATAAATAACTCCCATTTGACATACAGGTCTGGAAACTGCAGCTCTTGTCAAGAACCCTTTCCACATTTGATTCCCAGTGGTTAGCAATGAATCAGCTGTGCCTTTGGCTCAAAACAGCTACTCCCAGCTCTAAAATAACACTGACTGCTCCTCAGCATTATGCTCCTCTAAACCCTCCCATAATCCTTGCACTCTGTTATTCAAGGTGCAGAGCATCTCTCCGGTCTGGCAGGCAGGACTGACTGCTGGCTCACTCTCTCTCCTGCAGCTGCCAGAGGACGACCTGAGCAGCTGAACTCCCAGGTTACAAACTGAATTGATTCCTTGATAAAATCCCTCTTTGTTTATCAATCACCTTTGCTAATTTGACTTTTTTACCCCCTCCAGCTATGCCCTCCTTTTCACTTCCCGGTCTGAAACTATTCATCTCTTCATTTAGATAGGTTTTAACATTACAATGTCAATGGGGTTTTTGGGGAAATTTTGGTACCTGGCTGTAAGCTCCCATAGGAAGCTGGGGCTAAATAAAGCCACAGCTGATCAGGTCTTAATAATGATGATTTTCCCATGCATTTTTATAGTGTATGCTACCAGAAACATCAGGAAAAGCCCTGGGCAATTTAAATAATCATTTGTATTTACCCCTTATCAGTTCTGTTCCTAAGACTTAGTTCATTACATCTTGCAAATAATGGGTGGAATGAGAAATTAAACTTGTGAGAACACGTTTATATTAAAAATGTGTATTTCTAGAAAGTGCTGTGCCATGAATGACCTGATTCTAAAAAATGGCAAAAGGTTGAGTTTTTTCCCAATTTAACCATAAACAAGACCATCCTTTTCATAGGATTTAGTGCATATACAGTAACTGCATATACATAACTGCATATACGGTTAAAAATAATAGCATCAATATACATATCAATGAGGTCTGAGTCTACCCAAACCACTGATTTAATGAGCTGGTTTACAGCATTCTAGATGCCTAGAAATAACTAGACTGTTTGGGGTAAACAATCATATAAACAAAGGCAAGGCAAACGGAAAAATCAAGTATCTCCTCTCATGCATGTTTAGCTCATTCACCTTTGCAGCTGATATAACTTCAATAAAACCACAAAAATGAAACCAGATAAAGAAAAGAGAAATTCAGAGTGTTAAACACAATTATGAAAGCAGAAACTGTCTCTTTATATTGTGGTAGGCCTCTGTGCAATTATAGTAGCTTCCTGCTCTCATGCTGCCTGGCTGTTGGAATACTCTTTCTCATGAGTGCTAGATTAAGTATTTTTTCCTCAGTGCTCAGCTAACGTGGGCAGTCAAAATCGCACATAGTTCCTTCAGAACAAAGTCCTCAGCTACTAGTAAAATGTCAAACTCTAAATCACATTTTCACATTAATGTTTTGTCAAATGTCTTAATTCAAATGACTTTACTGTATATTTATCTTGCTTTAGTATAGGGGAAGACAAGGGGAACTCATAAATACTAGATAAGCCACTCATCTACTTTGATTAGTTTTCCTAAGTAGAATGACATTTATGACTTTTTTTATTACAGACTTCAACTTACTTCATCTGTTAAACACTTTCATGCTAGAAATGGATCTCATTGTAAATTAATTTATAAATTGTACAGCACGAATGTAGTGTTCCTCTACGAAATTGCTGACTTAAGCTTAGAAGATTCTTTCAAGGCCATATGCATCCAATGATTTCCATATAAAATATGCATCCTAAATGCTCTTACTTTTATAAGCTCATGATAAAAGAGGGAAATGGCAAATACACGTTAATATAAAGAGTTGTTGGCTTTGAGTTTGTATTGCAAGCATGCATATTCCAGCAGCATAAACAGGAAACATCTGAGACAGAGACATTTAACCCATTTATTCTATCTCATAGCACACCCTCAAATATTTCTCTTTCACCACTCACATCACACTGATCTCCACATTTCAGTGTTTCATCTGTAACACTTGTCAGAATTTCACTACACACGGAATGGAACTTCTAAAACCTCCTTGAGACTTACTGTCATGAGTCTGAAGATATATACAAAATATAAACCACAGAGATTTCTATTCATAAAGCAACTAACATTGAAGACAGCATAGCTACAGGCTTGCTGCCACTTCAAAAGTCTCTACAGTTTTATCCAGAGTTTTTATAAACATAATGAAATATGGAAACATAATAATACCACAATTGTCTATCAGTTTGGGGAAAGGGACTGGCCATTCAGTGTTAAATCACTTAGGCCAGTTATGGTCCTTGACACATCAGGCATGTTCCATCATGAGAAGAGCACAATACAAGTTCAGTTAGGAAAGCACTATGTAACATTTTTTGATTTGGCAGGATAATTTTGACTTAAGACTCCTCTTTAATTCCGTACAAAAATATCTTACAGTTTCTTATCTTCTTCATTTATTGCTTAGGGGATAGCAGACAGAGAGAGCAGTATGGAGCACTGGTTCATTTATACACCATTAACCTTACTGCACGCAGTGAAATGTAACTTTTGAATGCCCCAAGATTGTGCTTTCAGTAATGAGAAGAGTAGCCAAGGTAGATTTGAGTAAGCCTTCAATTTCACTTAACATGTATCAGTACACACAGAAATCCCATGCAGTTATGTTCCTGCCTACATTTCCAAGACAATAGCAGCTATGGTTCACAATCACCAGTCACGTGTGGCACTTAAAATACTTTGGCTACTTTTCTGTAATACAGTTAGCAAGTAAGAGTGAAGCAGAGCTATGCTATCTAACATAAATATTCACAAAGTATACTCTCTTAAAAAAAGCCTTCTGAATACAAGTAGTTATTCAAAAGGCAAACTACTGAAGAGTCAAAATAATTAGCAATGACTCATTTGCTATGCACAAGAAAAACACAGGCAAAATGACACGTAAACTTGCTGGAAGACATTATTGGTGTTTTCCCACTTTCAGTCTAGAATATTACAATAGCTGGCATAGCATCTTCTGCTTTTGTTAAACCAGCTATTTGATCCCAGGGCATCCAACATTCCCTCAGTTTTCAGACTGTTGTTTCATGCCGAGGTATGCATTACAAAACTGAGACTGTATCCCTAAATGAATACACTGCTGTATCCCTAAATGAATACACTGCTTTCCTGGGCACACAACTGTGTGTTAAGAGAATTAAACAGGTCAACAAATTCTTTTTTTCCATGCATCCATCAATCTAGTCTCACATGTGTCAGGCACTTGAGCCTCAACCTGAAAATCAGACACAACTTCACGATTACCATTATTAGCTTTGAGTGGAAGGTGAACAGCAAGGCTGACCCCCCCAGAAAAGAATGGGACAGAATGAGACCCAGCTGTTAAGAGCACATTATATCTCCCTGTCAATCAGTTTCAGCACCTAGACTTGTAAATCTGATGGGCCTTTTGAATAAGAGATGATTGTCCTAATCCATCTTTTCACGCATGATTTCTTAAATGATAATTAAAAATAAATAAAAAAAATAGCTCTGCTTGAGGCAATGTAAGTATAAAGGGGCACAAATATAGAGCAAAAGAAGCATTTCACAATAGGCTCAAGCACAGAATTTAAATCCTGTTCTGGATTAATCCCACAAGCTATTCTCAGGTGAAACTGGTACATTAATACCTGGTCCTTTAAGATGGAAAGCAAAAAAGAAGCAAAAGGCACTCAACCATTTCTTTTGTGCCAGTGGTTATTGAAACTGGTGTTCACTAAAAGGTCACCCATGCTCAGGTGAGACCTTTGGTTTATCTACTTACCTAAAATATCCTATTATTATTAATTCCTAGTATTTAATCTGGAGTTGCTTCTTACTCAGGAACTAATCTGACCACCTACATAAAGATTGGCTTTGGTTTGACTTTATTTTCAAGTTCATTTTTTCCTAGACTCTGAACTTGCATATGCCACATTATCAATACATGCATTTGATTAATAATCAAATGCTTCCAATAGTATCATGCCATAATAATTTTTACCTTGGTGTTGCCATTTATTTTGCATGCTTTGCTTTGTGAATTTAACAGCGTTCCAGTCTCATATGCCACAGTGAACTGACACTTAATCATATGCCAACTTTATGCTATCTCCTGATATGAAGCAAAAATTAGGTCAGTCAAATTTGTGTTACCTTAATAGGAAATGATTTTAAAGGCTGGGGGACACTGTGCTTTTCCATGGTATGCAGGCTCATTTTTTACAGCTATGTGCTCTTACAGTATATTCCTTCATAGAGAATAACTCTCTATAAGCATGAGTAAGCATTTATCATAACTATGCTCTTACCACAACATTAATTGTCACTGATTTTCACTGATTCAAACACAGGAGGGTTCCCTCAAAAAGAGGATGGTTTCCTCAAAAAGTACAGGTTATAAAGGCCTTTCACTTTTTTTCACTTGCTAGGTTTCTAAGAACTACAAACTCAGATTTTTACATCAGTCTTCTTTGGTTCTTCATTTGAACTTAGAAATAAAAAAAATTTAATACACTATGTGTTATCAAATTGATAACAAACATCTCTGTGCTGCAGATGGCATTTTCCACTTGCCTCTCAAATAACAAAGAATATGAATACAAGTTGTGAACTAGATTTCATCAAGAAACATTAGTTCAATATGCTAGCTTTCAGAAGATGCTCAACACATTTCAAGACAGTTCCTCAAGAGTCAAGGTCTACCACAGTTAAAAGTACTATTGATTTCAGTGGTGCAAAATTTCATGCTAACAACAAAAGTGCTAAGGCTCTCCCTATAAAATAAAGAATAGCCATGCAAGACAGATCTATAGTAAAACTCCCACTCCCCCCTTACAATGCACTTAGAGCTCCTGAGGGCCAAAGATGCTGTAAGAGACTAAACTTCTTGTATTTCCCAGCCAGAGATTAGAGGTACAGAAAACTCTCAACCAAACAAAAAAACCTGTAAAGAAGGGGCTTGCTATATCATAGAGGACAACTTAGAAGAAGACACATAACACTCTTCAAGCACACAAAAGTGTGAAGACAAAGGTAGGAAACTGCTTGCCTTACAGACTTTGCATAAGATAAGAAACAATGAGCTGAATTTTTTTTTGCAAAATGATGTTTAAATTAGATTAGATATTCCGAAGACTTTCTGGAAGTTCAGCTACTGGAGTAATGCAACTGCCTGGTGAAGTGGTGGAATTTCCATCAACTGAAACTTTCTAAGAATAGCTAGAAAGATGTAGCTACAACTGACCTCTCTAGTGCACCCTAATGGCCTAGGTACGTGGACTCTCAAACTTCAAAGTGCAGTCTATCAAGTCAGTTCAAAAAACGAAAAGTGACCAGTTAAACATGGTAAGAAACAGGGACATCAAAGGAAAAATACTACTCTACAGTTGCCACACCTCTCCAGAAGGCAAGGTGCCGTGCCAGGCAGGTCCTGAGACTCAGTTTGCAATTTAGTGTGAGGTGGAAGAATTTGCAACTCAGAGACGCAGTGTTTCAGTTTATGGGTGATGCCCATTCTGCTGCATATATGTTATAATCTGCCTGAACTACTCTCACCTTTATAACTATAAACTGGTAGGCTTGGATTATAAGAGTTTTTTAAGGATTCATGTAGCTGCAATTTTCTGCATTCTTTTGTTTCTATATTCCTCTAATAGAAATTCTAATTCCTCTCTATTTCTCTAACCCACAAACAAGCTGGAAATTGATTCTAAAAGTACAGTTTCAGTGAGAAAAACCTATCACTAACAAACTCTTCTGTAATATTTTTCCTTCACAGATCTCAAATCTCTTCACAAAGAACCAGTAAGCAAATGCTACATCAGAAACACAACAAAACCTTTCTATCTAGGATCCTGTATGTCTACTAAAGTGTATCCTGCATACAGGATTCTTCACACAACCACCCCACAAAAATCCCCAAACTTTGTATTTTCCCTCAAATATCTGATGAGCCTTTGACACTACAACAGTGAACTCCACAGTAACTAAATAAAAGTGCAGAATGCTGTAATAAAAAGCATTCAACATTTTCAAATGAAATGCAAATACAAAAAAAGTCAATTAATACATTTTAAAAATCATCTGATTTCTTTCAAACTTTCATTCATCCTTAGGAGCTGGTAAAACATAAATTTCACCCCTCATTATCTTGAACATGACTTGACACTAACTCCTGTAGCAAAAATGGACCTATGTGATCATAACAAAAGGGAACACAGAGCAGAATTTACTGAATGCAAAGACACAAATGTACAGTACCCATCAAGCACAGTAATGATACTAACATTGGTGATTAAAGGTTTCTTCTTTTTTTTAAAGGAAATAGATAACTTTCATGAAGATTTTAAATTATTCTACTGTAAGTAATACAGTCTTTGCATTCTCCTTCCCAAGAGCATTATCATTAAAGTTGATATGTATGTGGTGGAAAAAGAATATCCTTCTCCTTTTTTTCCTAAACCCATATTTAAAACACAAAAATATTAGCATTTTAAAAGTGAGTAATGGATTTTAGAAATGTGTGCTTACCAATACAATCCCCATTTGCATCCTGCTTATATCCCATGTTGCACTCACATCGATAACTAGAAAGGGTTGGGATACAACGTCCGTTTAAACAAAGGTTGGGATGGTGCCTGCAGATGTCTATTGTCTGATTGAGTATTGCTAAGAAAAAAACCCAAACATAAAATGAAACAAATATACGTATTTTCAAATAGAACTAAATGCGGAGATTACATTTACCTTCAGAATGTATATTATCAGGGGCATAAATATATCCACCAAACCAAGTACTTTTTCCAATCACTATCAATTGACACAACAGTGAAATAACAAAACCAAGTAGCTCTCAGAAAAAACAAAACACATTAGACAGTCTTAAGTATGATTTACCATTTATGTGCACAGTCTGATGAGATTGTCAGTGGCCTTAAGAACAAACCACAATTTGGGTGACAGATGGAGCAGGTTGCTCCCATACATTTACTGTTTTTGGTGAACCTGTCTTAAAAATACTTCTTGCATTTTATTTATGCTTAAAAAAAATTTACATATATGAAGCTTCCCTCTGAATATTATTCACCTTGGATTTTCAGTCAGGGCAGTGTTCCTGCAGAACAGCTAAGTTTTACATTTGGAAGAATGAGCAAAGAAAATGGTATTTTAAACCTGGTGGTTTTTCAAAAACAGAAATCTGGAGTTTCATTAGTGCTGATCAAGACAGATCAGCAGTGACAGAACAGGCTCAAGGCGTCCATAACTGAAGACAGAAATCTCTACATTTGAATTCCTGTTAAAAAGCACTCCTGAACCTCCTATTGTATCAACCCAGGTCCATTAAATGTGTTTGAATACAAAGGCATTTTTACCTGTTAAAAACACGCTATCAGTTCCAGACTGAAAACTAACCAGAAAAAAAGGAAAAAAATAGGAGGGGGAAAAAAAAAAAAAGAGGTAACATGTCACAACAATGCAAGTACTTACTTAGCCCAGTAATTATTGGGCCATTTCCAGTGGGACTTTGACCACCTGTCCCTATCCCTGCTCCGCCGACACCTGGGGAGAAACCATTGCTTCCAGGTATGGGAATGAATCCTGCTCCTCCTGGGCTGTAGCCATTGCCATTGCCACCGGGAAGGAACCCATTTCCTCTTGTCCCACCACCTCTGGACCCACCTCCAGCAGGAGCAACATCCACACAAAGTCTGCGGTGTTCATCTATCAAACAGGAACACACAGAAAAGCATAAAGCAAATCAACCCTCCAGAGTTAGCTTATGAGGAAGATACAGATCTTTGCAAGGTACAAAAACCAGAACACTGGCTCCTCATTTCTTTGATGTTGCATGTTCCCTTTCCCACTCCTAATCTCAGGCAGATCTCATGGTTGTGACAGGTGTTATTTAAGGAAGGACACTAAAAATAATAAAAGGAAATATTACAATTTACTATTTATTGAAATCTTTTTGTTGATGTGCTGCCAGCAGCACTGTAACTCCCTGGCCACTCAGAGATCTTGATACAGATAAGCTGAAAACATGTTTCACTGGGGATGTGGACTATTACTCTGGGAGTGGGGCTGAAAAAACTAAATTAAATACTGGCGCATTTCTAGTTCAAAGTAACCCAAAATTTAATGGAACAAGAGAGCAGCTGTTCCTTCAAATCAAAATGAACGGTGGACCCTCAGAATCATTTCCTCTTTGAGTCTGACCACAAAATCTTTCCCATTTCCCAAGAACTATTTCCAAAGTCAACAAAAGAATGTTAAAGAAACTAGTCCCAAATAATCATGGACCAGAAAAAAAAAATGGTTCACAGATGGTAACATCAGTATTAAAAACACAAGAGTGAATAATAATGTAATTCTTGACTTTCTTTTTCCATTTAGCCTACATGTTTTGGCAATTTAAAGTATTCCGGTGACCTCCTTCCCAAGCCACTTACCAGATCCTCTAACAGGACACATCTCTGGAACAGACCCGACGGCCCAGCACCGGCCAGACTCACAGCAGCACTGCCTTTTGGTGAATCTGCCAGGAAGCTCCTGTGCACAGCGGCCATTCACTGTGTTGGAGAAACACGTGCTTGCCCTCTGATCTGGGAGTTAATTTAAAAAAGAAAACCAAAAATGGCAACACGAACTCTCAGAATTTAAAAAAGAAAACCAAAAATGGTAACACGAACTCTCAGAATTACTTTCCCTTACTCAATTCATGACTAAAACGTTTAAAAAGTTGTATTAAAAAACCCCAAATAAACACAACAAAAACTCACCACTAAACCAAACCTCAAACTACCCCCAAAACACACCACCCAATAATTACCTCAGATGATTAGCACCAAAACATTCCACACTTGGTTTACTGCAGGATCACATATTTACAGTGACACTAGTCTTGCATTCATCTTAAATGCAATCTTAAAGTCTGCTCAGGCTAACAAGAAATATGGATGATACAAAAGATACAAAGCAATGCAAATAGAGTCTAGATACAAATACATAAAAAGCCTACTATGGCAAAAATCAAGACATGTCATGTAATAACAGTAACATCAGTAAATTAATTTAATGAATTTTTCGTTCGTGTATAGGTATCTGACAAAAAACGCCATTCAGACTGCTCTTCTCAATAGACTGAATGTACAAGAGCATTTCCAGTAGTGCCATGTGAAAACTACTCTATACAAGTATCTCATTGTTTACTATATTCTAGAGTGGTTTTTTATATTCTAGCTTCTATTTTTTTAATATTCTAGAGCTTTTACTGTGACACTCCTGAATGCTGACTAGGAGAAAAGCTCAATGCATTTGGAAAGACATCGTACTAATTACACTGAGCATATCCTGCTATTTTGGTTAAAAGAAAGTATCTTAAACAAGGAAGAATAAAATAATTTACATTAAATTCTTTGCTTTTCTTGTAAGTACAGGAGAAATTATACTTCTGGAGTATACAAGTTATAGTCCTGTAACTATAAACATTTGAGAGCACAAGAACTTTCAGACACATTTACATTTAAGGGAAAAGGGCAATCTGTAACATAATGGCCTCTCTTAGCCAAACAGGGCATGATTTTTGTTTGATTGGGTTTGGGAGTTGACCTGAGAAACTAGAACACAAAACATGCCAAAATCCATATGCAATTCCAATCATCTTGGAAATCATAGGTTCTCAGCATTCCTGAGGCCAGCCAGATTATTTCTGAAGTTCAGCACTCCTCAGATGAACCTGGATAACAAAAGCCGGCAACATTGTGCAAAGAATTATCCATGTGAAATCACCTGTAGGTCTTGTGTTGCTACTGGCTTACATCATTTATCTGTAATTCAGAAATTCCTTTCAGAATACCCATCCCGTTCCCAGCATGAGAACAAAGGGCTTTGAGATGTCTGAAATAAGAACCAGCACGAGATCTAGAAAAGACGCTATTATTAGCAACTGTTGATTGTTTCCTACACATGGTATACACCATTTTTAGTTAATTTGTCAGAATGGTTTATACCATATATTTGACACACGCAGCTGTATAAAAGAAATTACCACACGTGAAAATAAGCAGACATCTTTTTTATAATATAGAAACAGTTTTTAAAGAAATTGTCTTGAAAAAGCTGTAATGTACTGATATCTAATATTTAGGTAATTCTATTATCTGTTCCAACCAAATTAGTAGCAGCTCAGCACACACTGCTTAATGTCTTCTGAGTTCCTATATGTGCCTGTTGAAGGTTAGGGCTGTGCTGTCTGCTAAACGAGAGACAGATGCTCTCTAAACCCCTCTGACCCTGTAAATGGGAAGGGAAAAAGACAAAGAGACCTATTGATCAGAAAAACTACAACAGCCTTAATAAAACAATAACACTACTAATAAATTAAGAAAATATTGGAAATAATGAAAAATATACAAATATATACAAAACCAATATTGAATTTAACTCTCAAAAGACCAAGAGCAATGCTGCAGAGCAAGCAGCACTGGGACAGCCCTAGACTCAGCAGCAGAGGGGAATCAGGCACAGGAGTTGAATTTGGGAACTCAGGATTGGGATCAAAGGCAGAAAAATGGATGGAGCCCTCCTCAGACACTGGCCATTGAAAAAGAGGCTTAGCTCCCATGACCCCGCAGATCTATACTGAATATGACATATATGGAGTGGAATACTTTGTTGGTCAGGCTTAGGTCACCTGCTCTGTCTGCTCCTCCCCGGGATATGTGATCTTTGTATTTCCTTGTGACCCTTTTACTTCTTAGCACCCCCAATGTGGCACACAAGATTTATCAGTTACTTTGGTTATCACAGGAGCAAGTGCAAGCAAGAGCCTTTCTGCATACCAAGAGCCTTTCTGCATACCAATCCCAGGCACTAACTATAAACATCAGGTGTTACCATTTCTAGTAGCAGATACTGTCTGCAAAAACATGCTGTTAACTTCATATAGTATAGCCTCTTAGAAGAGACTAAGCTGAAAAGCAGAATTACTGAACAGAACTTGCTCTGTTTAGCTCAAACCACATCAGCATCTTACATGTTGGTCTCTAAATTAACCTAAACGAGATGGAACTTGAAATACGTAGACAAGATAGAAAGATATTAATTGCTTTTTTCCTGAGACGATCCAGAACTCAGACAGCAGGTCTCAGGCTACAGTACAATTGACACAGAGGAATCTACTATCTACATAAAGACAGTTGCAGGGACAATCATCATCAGAGGAGGATGTTATAAATTTTAAGGAACTGATTCAGAGGTACTAATGAGGTAGCATATCAAGAGGCCTAGGGTAGGGGGACAGACATTCTGCTGATGCTGCTGTGTATAAATTGACTTAATCACCTTGAGAGCTCTAAAAGCTTACAGAGTGGAATACCTACCGATACAGCGTGAGCCATCTGCAGATGTGACATAACCCCGTGGGCACATGCAGAAATAACTTCCCACAGTGTTAGAGCATTCATTGCCTTCACAGATTCCTGGGATGATGCTGCATTCATCAATATCTATCCAAAAAGGAAAAGACATGGGATAATTAACAGAGTACTTGAACACACTCAAAAAGTGGAAAAGAAAGCTTTTCTGAAATTAAGTTGTTATCTAACGCGTTGAATAACAGATTGCTGGTGTTTGTGCATGAGAAATAGCTTTGTTTGCCATTTAATAGAGGGTTTCCTTATACATCAAAGGGGTGCACCCTTCAAGCCACAGGGTTCATGAGAGCAGGCTGAGATCCCCTCTAAATGACACGTATTGAGTGCCACCTCTAGGAAGCACATGACAGTCACAGTGCAATGCCAAAGAAAATATCCTGCTTTTGAGACGAAGGAAGGAGGATGGTACAACAGCCAAGCATGACAGCTCTGGGCTTCTATGACCACAAAAATGCTGCTCAAAACATTTACTTTCTGGCTTTCTAATACCCCAACAGTAAGCAAGAAATTTGGCCAAGCTCTTCAAACGCCATCAAATGTTGCATTCCTACTTTTTTTCAGTTATTTTTAATCCATTAAAATGTTTCTGCTAACTAAAAGCACTGGCCTCATCTGAACACCGAAACAACTATGTATGTAAAAACAGAAAAAATCAGAAGTCATCAAGCTGATGAATGAGCTGCTGTATGTAACAAGTGGCTACCAGGATGCTCGGCACCAGAACTGAGACCATCATATGCTGTCCTAGAACAAACTGGAAGCAAAATAAGGAGCTGAGGCAATGAGAAACAACAGGAGTAAGCAGTCTAACTGTGTGGTTAGAGCTGTGAAGCACAGCAGAGCATACTGGAATGGATGAAACACAAGTGGGAAGGTCAGCATGAGAGTAAAGACTATGTCATGACCATTTGTAGGGCAAGACATTTTAAGTAACCCCTTTATTCTAAAACTGTGACAATCTTCAGACAGATTAAGTGCCTCTGTACACATTATTATTTTTAGGGTCATTTTAGCAGCCTCATATTGCTTATAAGTGACCTCGAGTGGCTTTCAGGGAATGTGAACTGTGGCCTAGGTTTAACATCAGAGGCATTCTGAGAAAACACAGGAAATTATGGGCCAACTTTCTAACTAGCTTGAGACAAGTTATGTTTTTCAGCTGGAAGGATATAATATCACAGGTTTTGCCCAGATTGATACCAAAGGTAGTCATAGATACAAAACTTTAGCTTAACTTCTTTGTAAAAATTTGGATGAAGTATTAAATTAGCTTTCATACTGCAAAACAAAAATTAAAACAAAAAATGAGACTGTTGAATCCAGACTGTGTCACATGAAACAACGCTAAGGTCGCGGGTTCAATTCCCATTCGGTCTACATGTGTTGCCTGATCTAGTCGAGAGGTGGCATCCCTGGTGGCAGGCAGGCCGGATTAAAACGATCTCTAAGGTCCCTTCCAGCTTAGGCCATTCTATGAGTCCATGAAATAATGCAGGAGAAGCATCAGAAGGAGCGTATGGTAGAAATCACCTTGTGATGACACTGTGAAGGTCTTCACATTCCTTTTAAGAAAGCCTAGGGATCCCACAAATCATTCCTTGCACTTTTATACAGACCTATAATTTCCTTGGACCTGTAACTCTAGAAATTGTCCTGAGATGAATGACTACTTGAGAAACAAACTTTAGCAGGTGTTATTTCTTAGAAGCCTTTTATGTGATGAATACTTTGCTCCCTCCCTTGCTACACTCTACACATGAAAAACTCAAAGAAAAGGAAAAGTGCCAAAAAGATCTGGCACGCACAGGGACTATTAAAAAGGTAACTCCCCACTGTGGGAAAGTCCACAGATGAAGAACTCCCCTCAGATAGGAATCTACAGAGGACATTCCAGTACCGAAAGGGAAACTAAGTTTTGCCACATGGCCACAAAGAATGTGACAACTGTTCTTCGTAAGTGAACACATGAATAAACAATCCCTCTCCCACTGGCATGTCATTTGGAGTGCCACTGTAGAAAAGAGAATGTATTTTACAGGTAACCCTTGACACATCTTCAAATTTCCTAATTAGTCCATATATTTAAGCATCTCGTGGCCTTTGTTGTTTGTTTTACACTATGACTCACCTTTAGAGGAAGTGAAGTTTTTGTCCTTTTAATAAGGTCATTTAAGCATATTAGAGGACAAAAAAAGTTTGAAAATTACATTAAAATAGTTACAAAATGACAACTATTCTCCACAATTTAGACATCTGCTCAAGAACGTACAAAAGAAACTGCCATCTTTGCTAAATCAAAACATTTCTTTCACATAAGGGTTTATACTTAACCCACTGCAGAGATTCCAGAATTCAAAATGATGTTATGAATCAAAACCAAGTAATTCCCCAGGAAATCTCTAAAATCTTCTATTAATTTACTATACTAAAGACAATATATACAATGCAGTGAACTGCTTAACATCTGATTCAATCCAATGAAATGAAACCATGTGTATAAATCAAAGAAGAACCGGAACCAGCTGCATGCCTTGTTGAAATTTCATGCAGTTCAGGTCTTGCACAGCCCATAAGTCTTTCAAACATGAATACTGTCTTCTGTATACACAGTTCTGTACACACAGTTTAAAACACCATGTCAAAAAGACAGAAAAGGAAACTGGACGAAATGAAGGACTCTGCAGAAAGAGCTGCCTTTTTCTGGAGAGTGACACCTTCCCAATGTCCAAGTCACTGGATGCCCAAGCAAGAGCATTTTACCATTCCTTGAAGCACACCTTCCGTCTCAAGGAAAACTACACTAGTCTTTTTCATCACTACTGTAGTGGTTGCAGAAATAAATCCCGGGACTAATTCTAAAGTTCAGAGGCACCCAAACTTTCATACAGATACCACCAGCATGTTAATCACAATTAATCAGCATGGAAATACTGCCTGGAGATGTAAATCCTGTAAGACAAATGGGACGGCACAAAGCTGGTAGCACCTGCCACCAGTGGTATGTGAACAAGATAAATTTCAGAATCCCTGTGTTAGGAACTAGTTAGACAGGATTTTAGAAGTATCAGTTTCATTCAGTCACTCTCTCAGAGAGTGGGTCTTAAATTCTGTAGGTTCCAGAGCATTTCTTTTCTTTTTTTTTTTCTAACTGAGGTACAACAGCAGCCTCTATACTATTAAAAAAAAAAAAACTACAAGAAAAATAAATCTATAAAAATCTGACTATTAAAGCCAGGAGGCACTTGAAAACTGAAAGTTTTCCTTTCATTTTCACTCTGTTTGGCACAGGTACCTGCTACTTTAAGGCAATAATCTCAATTGCACAAACACAACACCTGATCTTTTACCAAAGGAAACCAAATTCCAACCTACTTGGACATACAGTACAAAATCCATTGATGTGATGAGAAAGCGGAGTTTGTAGCACTGGCAAGTGAAAGACACAGGATGGAAGCAGTTACCCACCTCTGCAAAGCTGCAGGACCTAGACCATCCTTCCCACCTGGCTACATGCACAGAGGTTTAGCACTGTCTAGGGCTCTTGTCCAAGAATGACAGGGAGCTGGGAAGGGAGAAAGTACCTTCCTGAAATCTGGGCAGTGACCAAAGTAGGAGGAAGACTCCACAGTCTCCTCCATGTGGGGAGAAAAACATTTTTTTAATCAATAAACACAGAGAAATTTTTTTTAAGAATAATTTTCTTATTTACTGGAGTAGCACCAAGTCATTTTTTGTTTCACTAGTTTCTGAGCTAAATCTGTGTCTCTCCTTCCTCCTCCCTGGCTCTTGCATGTGCAATTCTTTCAACAAGATCTCTATTACCTCTGACTGGAAATTCTGAGACTTTACTTTAGGAAGAGTTATTTTTAGGATGGCTGATTGAAAAAGTTACTCAATTTCCTCCCTGCCCCCCTCCAAAATACATAAATTAACAGTCTAGGGGAAAATGCTCCAAAGATAGTAATAGGTGATGCTGTCTTAAGAGTGAAAAAAACTGGTAGTGTGAATGGTTCCAACATTGCACACAAGATGAGAAAGCTAGTTTCATTGTGAGAACCAATTTAAAAGTGTGGCCTAAACTTTGCAGGTGTGAGAATTAATAGCTGAGCTTCTGCCAAAAAACCCACCCTGGTTACCTGTCATAGAGAATTCATCACTTTTACTGCCACAGTAAGCAGGATTTTATGAATAACTGAATTAAAAATACCAGAATGGAGTCTCTCAACTGCTGAGTTCTGAAAAAGGGTTCCCTGAATATAGTTTTAGTCTATAGTAATACCTGGTAGTATCAAATCTGAGTGACACACAGTTTAATGAAATTATACACTAAAGCAGGAAAATCCCAAATAGAATTCTTTCTTTTAACGGGTTCTTTGCATTTTGGTGCCATGTTTTAAAAAAAAAAAAAAAAAAAAGGAGCTAGCCTGTGTCATATAGTCCTAGCAACATATCTTTTTGGAAGAGCATCAGAGGCATCCTATCTCCTAGAGTAGTTTTAACTGTAAAGGGTGTCATATCTAACCACATTTAGTCAAGGACTAGGATGTATTTCCAATCTGAGAAAAGTAAGTTGAACACATTGAATAGATCCTTGAAGTACCAGTAAGTAGTAGTCCACCTCTTACATAAACCAGCAAGCATTACAGAGAGTTTATTTCTCCTCTCAGTTTACCTATATAAGGCTCATCTCTGAACAACCTATAGATGCAAGTTCTGTTAATTCTGGAAGATAATATCGTAAAAATGAATAGACTTTCATTACCCAAAAGACAATAAAAACTCAGCATGTTGTAGATCAAAACTTTTAGGTAAAAAAAGAGAAGGATTTGGGGTTTTCTTTTGTTTAGTTAAGAAATCACACTAGTGCTCTGGATTTCTGGAATTTAGTACAACCTCTGTAAAGACCTTTTCCAAATTTTCTCAGCTCTTTGCCCATTCTTTGAATCCTCCCATGACTTGCCTAGTAGCAGACAGAGTTGTTCTGACTCCTGTGAAATACCTATGGATCAGGAATATAGACAAGCTTATAAATAAAATCAGTAATACTGAACCCTGAGCTTGATTAATTTTAA